GGGGGACAATTAATTATAGGGATTCGCAATTATCTCCAGGATCCCGTGCGTGTGGGCAGCGTATATGTGATTCCTTAATCTAGACAAAAAATTAATTTTGCAGGCTTGCAGTTCAACCAAGTAAATAGAAAAAAAAAACAGGCTAACGATCTTGTTTTTAAAGGCTTTTGTATAATTCTGCTATACATTTTTATTGTGACAAATTTTTAAAAAAATTACGAGGAAGTAATGCATTTATTAAATAGACATTTAATTTCAGGTTTCCCCCAAATACAGGAATACAAAAAAAAAGTTTACTACCAGACTTTAGCTCATTTACTTGACTGACTTCGAATAATCCAAATATTTAAGAAAGTCAGTTAGCTACACGTAAACCCCAAATCTGAGGTGGAAATAATGAGCTGCTGTAGCAAAATGTCGCAGTAACTTGTAATTACTGAGCTGTGCGAGCGGCCTCGACCTGCTATAGATCTCGTTATGAAAGAAAAACTTTTACAATCTTTTAAAAAAGGCGCAGAAAGGCCGTGAAAGCTTTTGACATTTTGACAACTTCAGATGCGTCCACACTGTTGTCCCAGTTACTTTACAAATCTCTTAGAGCCACTCTCTGGGTAGAATTTATACATTGTGTGAGTGCATGAACTGTGTGAAAGTTTTTTTTTCGTGTTGTTACCTTTTGCTGGTTCTCTTCAAACTGGTGTTTTGACCTTTTATGAAGACTTACCTCGTCCCATACACACGATCTATGTCTCTAGAGATACCATATTTCTAAATTTCAACCGTGTGCCTCACTGAAAATGCCTCCACTGTTTAAGCTGACGTTAAAAGTTTTAGTGCTTACCTACAGCCTGACAACCACGAGGGGTTTACATTGTTTTACACTCATTCCCCTGTCCAGACTGTCCAATAAAAACTATCATGTTAGTCCTGTTGTTCTACTCTCAATCTTTAAGTGTTGTCAAGAACCCTTTCCCAGCTGCGTGAGCCGAGGTGAACAGGGGAAAGTATCTTTTAATAGGATACAACGTCTTCCCCGACGGGGCAACATGTGCTGCAGTAGAAGGGTTCTTTGAGAAGAACGTTTTGGCGAGTTCGAGAGCGGGGGATATCAACATGATGTGACAACAAAACTACGCACGTTTGAATATTCATTAGATACTTTATAACCTTATAATATCGGGCATCGTGTAGGTGAGGCGGGCTCTGACCGTGAGGCCTGCCAATGAAATTGGTCAGCAGCCAAATACATGTCTTCGCTATTTATTAGTTTTCATGATTCATTTGCGACCCCCCCCCCCTACCAACCTCCAACCAAACAAGCTTGAAAAACAAAGTATCGATTCTATAGGAGGTTTTTACCGTACTTTGTCAACATTAATATTTTTAAAATGGTGACCTTCCAACTGTGAGGTTTATTTTCCTTTTAACTGAACTAAACCTTCGGTCAAGATAGATAGATAGATAGATAGAGAGAGAGAGAGAGAGAGAGAGAGAGA